TTGTATTTGTTACTTAAATGTAATACCGAACATATGTATAAATGGGAGTATCATATAATAATAAAAAATTAATGATAATAATAATTTCATTTGTGCGTGTGATAAGTATTTATCTATACTAATATATGAATTGAATTCTTGTATCAAATGTAGTTTTTTAAAAAAAACATTTCGTACAAACTTATAAGGGTTTTCACAGTTTCTTCAACATTTCTGTGAAAATATCTGCACAAATACAGTTGTAATATCGTTAGAAAGTTATGTTAAAATGTTTACTTGACCTTCTTTTACTATTCATGCGTGCTAAATTCGTCTCTGATGACAAGTCCCACTTATTAAGATACATCTAGACATTTCAACCACGCAATCTACTAATTTCGTTCCAAAATATCCTGAGTACGTTCATCAAACCAAATGTTGAATCCGAATTCTCTTTTAAAAGCTAACGATTTTTTATTGAAAAAAATTAACATGGATGTGCATTGATATTCATAATTTATACAAAGTTTAACAATATCTTCATGTTATATTTAGCAAATGCTAAATTGCAGATTTTTACGTAAATTTATATTCTAAGAATATAATAAAAACGATTATTTAGATATTTTATAGATCTTTTTATATTTATGCAATTTCACAGTTTGAAAGTATAAGTACATAAAAATCCGCAGTCTAGCGAAAGTTTTAACGAGGCTTATGTTTCTTATAGGCATCATAAAGCGCAACAGTAGTTAAAATAAAAATCAGTATAATACGAGCATGTATTATCACAATATTTAATTTTCAGAAATTCCTATTTGGGTTATATTCTTTCATTCTGTTGTCATTTAGTTAAAATTACTTTTATTGTATTTTATAATATTAAATCCTTTTTTACTTACTATAAAATTTCTTTTCTAAGTACTATAATAATAGTTACGTAATTTCAGTTACGCAAATAAATTTATATACAGCATGTAAAAAATTCATATTTATATTTATGTATATATATATGTCGTATATTAACGTTCATTCTGACATTGAAATACAGTGTTTAAAGAAGAAGAATGTGTTAAATGTTCTGATAAAAGAAAAATATAAAGATTTGAAAATGCTCTCTCGGAGGTCATCAATCAATGCTATTTTTGTGACAAATGCTTCCAACTCACGCTATCTGCGGTAACAGCGTAACTTATTACCTGTCACATAGTTATAAGCGGTTGTAATTCATTTTTTTCTCTCTCTCTTTTATCGAAATTAAGTAGAAATCGATACCTTTTGTACTATTTTTGTACAACGACCAATGTTTACTTCTTAAACAAAATACACTTATAACCTTTAGCCTTTATACAGGATAAGATTTATGTAAAAATTAATGAGAATCGAGAAATGTTAAAATTCTTTTTCGTTTTATTTATATTTTCATTTTTACAAATAGCTACAAATTGTCAAATGAATATTTTTTTCACATTTCGTAACTATTATTGGAATAAATGTGTATGTCCTATGTACAGTTTATTTATGAATTTATATAACGAATAGGTTATTAAAAGTTCAGTAGTTTTAGAATTGAAACATATAAAAAGTTTATATGATTTATGTGAAGAAATAAATTCATTTAAATTTGTATGTGTTTTTATCAACTTGGAAATTTACATGTTCAAATTAAACATTTATAAAATTATTTACGAATTAAAATTGCGGTGAATATACATTTACATAAATTACGCATTATGTATATCATATATGAAATAGATAAACCCATAAAAATACAACTTTATTGATTTTCAGAACGCACAATCGTTGAACTTTCACATACTCACTGACGTTTAGCGAAATTGATATTTGAATATATAGACTTTCAAGACAATTGTTAATTATCAGTTTTAATAATAACTTAGTACTGCCATGCTGTAATTAAAATAAGAATATAATTTAATAATGTAATAATACTGACACTGTAATACAATACCTACTGTAATGTAAAATTCGTAGTACAAAAATTCCAATGAACAAGAGCTGTTAAAAGATGTATAGAAATTCGAGATACATTTGCATGTTTCTCCACTCAATGCGCGATGTGTTCTTGCGTTGCATTTCTCGTTGATGCACTTGGGAGAAAGTGCGGCATATTATGTTAACCTTGCATCTCGGTCATTGTGCCACTTAAGACTTGCAAGGATGACATGCACTTCTTGGTGACCTTTATTACTTTAAACTTGCGCGTTGCCAAATTGTTTCGTATTTATCTATACAGTATCTTTCCTGAAATACAAACTGGTCATTACAGTGAAATAAAGTGAAATGCATATCTATTATTGTAAAAAAGGGATATAAATCTAATTGCAGCGACCCTTTTCCTTGAAATAGATTTAAGCTTTAAGAAATATTAGAGTATCTTTGTTTTAGACATTTTATAACAGAAAAGGTCTTAAATAAAAAACACAATTATTATTTTTGTCCATTGTATGTAGGAAATTACAACATTTGCACTGCTTACAACACTTTCTTCGTTCACTTCGTTCTAAGGAGGTCAGTTAACCTACTTTCCATCATTGTTCTTATTTAACCCTATGATTATCGTAGCAAAAATGAAGAAAAGTGTAAAGTAGATGATCTAGGGGTTATTTCATTATTTTCAAGATTCCTTGCGTTACTGATATTAGACGTACCAAATATATACTTTTTATTTTCTATTAGAAATAAATATTAGTAATGGAACATTAATATAAATTGTATATTTTTTTTCAAAATTGAATGTTGAAATTCACTTGTCAAGAAATATTTTAATAACACATTTAAAATGGTAACTTGTTGAAATAATACGTATAGCGATTGAATAAATAAATTTGCTACATAAATGACATATTTATAGGTAGTAATTGATATAAATGTTAGTTTAAATAATAAATTGCTGTTCTTCTTTTATAAAAATAGATGAATACAGAAGAAGATAAGACTTTCCGACGAATGTCGGAATACAGTTTTTAATTTTAATGAAGATTAATTGGATAAATTGTGTGGAAAATTTTAATTCTAGTCTTTTAATATTAATCGAAGTTGATAATTGTCCGTACTTACAAAATTAATAGAATTTTCGTATTTAACAAGAAAGGAATATATATAGAATGAACTGCTTATCTGGAGTACAAGAGATTAGAGTACTAGGAGAAAATAAAATCCTCTCATTTTTTTTAAAAATTGAATATCATATTTTGTCTTGATTATGAAACTAAACAATATTTACTTGGAATATTTTCTATATAATTGAAGAATTATTACATACATTAAGGGTAGTTCTAGAAGAAAATTATGTCAAGGCATGAAAGCATTAATTAAATATAAATGGATTTATAGGTCTTTCTTTTTTTCTAAATACTTAATTGTATTATATTATATGACATATATTATTATATTTAACAGGTGATATTTATACAGTACAATATAATATTATAAATAATACAATAATAATAAATTTAATAATTAAATAATATAATATTTTTCTGTGTCGCACGGCGATGTACATTAAAATTCTAGGCTATTTATTTTTCATTACACAACGAAACAATCTCGACACGAAAGTGGACCGAATTATTAAGTAATGTATTATCAGTATTATGTAAAATCTTCGATAACGAGCTTCCAATCAAATCAAGAACAATACGATTAAAGTGAAAATACAATTTCTTTTGCCCATACAGGGTACACTCATGTTTGTAATTAACGTAATTATTTACGGGCGCATGCGTTTAATACTTACAGTGAGTAAATACAGGTTCACATAATTCTCACACGCATCGGGATGACTGGTTTGCCTTGCGCCAACCGTGGTTGTAAACTAGCTTAAAGTCTCTCACGGCCTTCAATTCGGAACCCTAGACAATATGTGCTGGCACGAGCGAAATGTGTACACGATACCGAGCTACACTTATGTTCCCAACCAACTAATTAGAACAGGAGAAGGCTACGCTAGTAGCTCTAACTCTCAAACCTAGAAATTTCAGTAATTTTGTGTTTATTATCGAATATGATAACAAAAAGATATTCAATTGAATAGAGCAGAACAATTTGAATTCATGATTTAATGCATAGAAAACTAAACCGGCAGAAAGTTTAATTAATAAAATCTACTTGATAATACTAATTTTCTCTTTTGATAAAATATTAAATATTACATTAAAAAATTAATATTTAATTATTTACATATTACATTATGTTTGTATTATTTAAATATTAAATGTTAATATTAATTTTGTAGAAATATTTTAATCACCCTGGACATGCTCATATTCATGAAATGTTCATTTTCTCCAATCTCATTTTTTCCTTATTTGGTACAGAAAATTAAATAAGTTACTTAGGTCTACGCTCTAGTTAAGTCTTACTACGTTCTAAACGATAACCATAGCCATTATCGTTTAATAAATAACTAGTTACCTATTATTTTAGTCACGCTGTGTTAATCCTTCGTACCTTTTTATTCTTAACTAGTCTTAAGAAAAATGTGAAAGAATCCTTGTTAATACGCAGGATTCTATGCTTTGAACGTAGAATTTTTAAATTTAATTCTTAATTGATATCGTTGGGAATCATAGTAATTTTTGATTTTTATTCAATCACTAGTTTCTATCATGGTTATAAAATACAAAATAAAATGAAATGCCGTAAATTTTAGTAATCTAGCATAAATTATTATAATCATTTCGACTCAACAATATTTATACTATATTTAAAGGCTATATTGAAACATTCAAAATCTGACCGATCCTTAAAACACAAACAAAATATATGAGATTGAGATATAAAATTTCAAACACTATAATAAGATTAAAGAAAAGATATTTACTATCAGCTTGTGTATTTTTATAAAATTTATATTTTAAAAAATAAAATTTAGAAAATAGAAACTCGATAGAAAATTGTTTTATGTGCAACTTTGTGCCTTCAAATTTTTTCTTTATTTAAACGTCATCGAACAATAACGACAGGAAAATTGAAGAAGTGTTTCGTTTTCATTTCAGATGACAATCACGCTGCTCTGCGTCCTGTTGATCGGACATCAAGTTCACGCAGTGGTTAACAAAGCGCAATCGCAATCGCTGGCCAACAAGGAGAAAGAGAATCCGAACGAAATTAAGGCTGACGAAAGAATAAGTAATTACGGTCCACCTTCCGATGATTACGGGCCACCAATTGGATCAAATATTAAAGGACCAGTGCCGGTTTACGGTCCACCAGAGTTAACAGGTGATCAAGGACCAACACCCATATACCCGCCGCCACCACCAGATCTTCCACCACCCATCTACGGTCCACCATTAGCTTCATACGGGCCACCACGGAATATTAAACCGCTTCACGGTCCACCAAAACAAAGTTTCGGCCCTCCTCTGTCTCCTTTGTCATCGAAGCTAAACTTCGGCTCGTTGAAACTTCACTATGGACCACCAAAGCAATACCATGGACCGCCATATTCGTTCGGTTCGTTCAGACTGCCGAAACCTCAGTACGGTCCACCATTGAAATTCACATCCAATCAATACATAGCGGTAGGATCCTCCGGTCTTGGACCAACAAACCCGGCGCACGGACCTGCTATCCCAGTGCCTTTCGATACCTACGGTGTGCCTCCGCAAAAACTGGCTGTTCAGTTTAGTTCGCAATCGAGCGGCAACTACGGACCACCTCCACCGCCATCGCTTGGAGTGGTACCTGAATCACAATATGGACCACCTGATCTGTACAGACCGCCAGTTCCTCCGCCAGGCGTGCCAGCACCACCTACTCCACCCGACATAAAGTACGATGGTTGGCAACCAATTGCTGGATTGGGCAATCAACAGCCTACGAATATTTACGGACCTCCATCCGAGGAGCAGAGGATTATAGACGGTTCATCCTTGGATTTACAGCGTCCGCAGTCTACGAACAACGTCGTTGAGAATCCGAACGTGCCGAGCGATTCGTACGGCGTACCGATTCACAGTCCCGAGGCACAGGACTTGAAGACCTCGGTGAGATCTGGTTCTAACGACAATAAAGGATTGCCGCCACCCCCGTTGCCGGAATACGAACCGTTTCACAACGAAAGCCCGCCAAAGAAGGAACCCCAGAATGATATCCAAGGTGGGATTAATTTACAGTACGAAGTGCCAAAGGTAGAACCACTTTCAGTCGTGAAAACAGTTGGATTCGAGTTACTGCCTACGAATCCGTCTCTAACCTCGGACCTTACCGCTGGATTGCCGACGTTGAAATTACCCCTGCTTGATGCCGGTGTCAATTCGAATTTTGGTAGCTCTCACGCGTTTCAAAATCTAGGAAACGATCTGTCGCTGTCGTTAAACGGACCTTCCAATAGCTACGGCCCACCGCCGTTATCAGGCGTTTCGTTTGGAAAGTTGAATCCCATTGAGTCGGGTATTCCTTTGCCACCACCTCCCGCGCTCGATTCCTATGGTGCACCTCCTTCATCATCATACTCATCAAATGGTCCTTATCCAGCTGCCGAGGCAGGTCGAGCATCCTCGTTTTCCTCCGTCGGACTACACGGCAACGTACTTTTCAAGCAAACTCTGCAACACTATCATCCCCCTGGATCCTTCAGACATCCACTTGCACCTCCAGGTACCCTGATTCCGCCAAGGAATCGCGAGCCGATCAAATTCAAAGAATCCATTCCCAGCGGACTTTTGACTAACCTTAATCGCTACTTGCCACCGCCGAGACACGCGGAGCTAGCCGCTAAAGCGCCAAAAACTTACCTCTCGCCATTTTCGTTCGAGCAACAGTTACCCATCCATAACGCTCCAGTCGCTTTCAAGAAATTGCCTAGCGTCAGCTTGAACTCACCAATGGCGGCACCGAACGCTCACTATGGAACGCCATTGTCATTCGGTGATTTTAACACACCAGCGCCGGTGTTGACGTACGGGGCGCCTAACTTTGGTCCCGCTTCTTCCTTCGTCTCCAGCTCCGCCGGCTTTGGCAGCAATTTATACGACGGCATCAGCAACGCTGTTACCACCACGTACGGCACTCCGGTTGTGAATTTCCCGTTGTCGACAGGTGGTGGACACGATTGCGGCCTCCAGCAAACGGCACCTGGCACGCGGTACAGCTTCGAAGATCTCGGAAGTCACTCGTTGAACGTCGGCCCGAGTTTCGGCGCGGCACTCCCCGCCGGACTGAATCAGAATTCGCTTTTCAAAGTCGACTCGTTGTCGAACGTGTTGAGCGGGCTGGATAACACGCAGTCGGTCGGCCAGCTGAGCCTGCAGAACTTCGATCAGCCTAAAACGAATCTGAAGGACAGCTACGGCAGTTCGATAGGCGTGAGTTACGCCGCTCCTGAGAGCTCCGACAACGTCGTGTCCAGTGATCACAGTCAATCGACCGATGTGGCGAACGTGCTCTCGGCACCACCGGCCGTACAATCTCAGGACTCGTTCTCCTCGAACGTTCAATTCCAACGAGAGAACAACGGGATCAGAGCCGAAGCTTTGACCGCGGGCCTGGACCTAAGTCAAGCGAAGAACCTAGCCGCGAACGAGGTGGATGCTAGTCAATTTCTGACCACTCACGAGGGCAGCGAAGCTCTGTCCTTGGTGAAGGGATTGAACGGGGACGGTTTCGAGGTTCAGGGCTCCAAGGGGACGTACACGTTGCAAATCCAAGCTGCCGACGGAGGATTAGGGACGGAGAATTCGGATGGCAGCATCAGACACGATCAGGTGCTGTCTAACGGTCTCTTGCAAGATATACTCGCGGCCATCGAACAGCCTGAACAGGGGCAGATACAAGTTCACGGCCAGCCGGAGGAACAACAGTTGCAACACGTGTATAGTAATTTACCACAGGCTGGCGATACGGAAGTCCCTAAAGGACATTACATCACTGTGGAACAGAATGATCGGAGGAAAGATTCCAACGCGTTGCTCGGACAACCTGGTGACAACACCGAGGCTGAATCGAACAGAGAAATATCCACGAAGAAGGAAGGTGTCGCTCTCTTCTTCAACAGTCAGTACGGTGACTCGAGGAAGGAGATAAGATCGGTGACGAAAAACGAGAACGTGGCGGCTGTTCGTTCGGACGATGGGAAGAATGCTAGCGAGACAAAGTCCTCTTAAATCGTCTCGTTCGTTTCGAAAATACTTTCGTCGATAGATTTGCTGGTGATGTATGATAATTTATACAACGAACGAGCTTTCGTTTTTTTTCTTTTTTTTTTTTTTTGCATTATCAAGTTAAGGTTCACCAAGTGCCGCCACGATACTACGAGATGATTAAGATGGAAACATTAAAATTGTTTCGCGTAGAGGTTATTGATTAAAGTCATTAAGCTAAAGACTATATTTAATTACGAAATATTTAAATTTTATATGATATATGGATGTTATAGTTACAAACGTTGACGTTCGATTGTCTGCGTCGGATTGATAGATTCACAGTCTACTAAGTGAACTTGAATTATTCTTCGGGTCATGATGGTTGTTGTACTGATCGTCAATGACATCTTTACATTTCATTTCAGAGTATGTCAGAATCGTGAGCAAGTCACGGTTTGCATAACATTTTCGTTTCCCTCTTCGCCGAGAAACGCAAAATAATGTTCGTTTTTCGACAAATACGAAGGTGATGCAATAATTATTCGTAACGTAATTGTAAAATTTATTAGATAAACTTATTAGAAACTTAGATAAATTTATTAAATAAAAATAGAGATTTTACAACAATATTCTACAATATAATCCTCTTGCTTGTTAGTATAACATTATTTTCTTAGTAATTCGTTTAATCCATCTTTGTAGCTTCTTTATAGCCTCAAAAGAAAGTATTTTTTATTAAATAGCAAGTCATGCATATATTTAATTCTTTGCAGCCAGTTTTAATTTATTAATAACGTTCACATTGCATTAAAAATCTTCTTTGGTACTTCAAACTATAAAAATAACAGCACATTACTTTTTTTATTTTAATTCTTTTTTTATCAAAACAAAGCGATTCAGCCACTGTTAAATTACATTTACATCAGGCAATCACAAATCATTAGATCGCTCAGTTGAAAATAGACAAATAGGTGATTTGCGATTGAACAGAAATCGTTTCAACTTACTTTAATTAATTGATATTAAATTTACAAGGACAGTTTTGAACAACTTAAACGCTATTTTCTTTCTGTTCCCTTTTGTTTCATTTTCTTTCATTTTGTTGCTACAGGGCGAGCTGTTCAAAATTAATCTGTACGTTTAAGCTTCTTTTCTTACATTTGTTATTCTGTATACATTATTACGCAAAAATTTGTACAACCGTAAGCATTTTCTAATGCTGCAACCAAGGTAAAAGGTGTTAATAATTATTGAATCACTTTCGTGTATCGATGATTGATTACATCGAGAAATTTTCGCAAAGCAATGATCACGTAACGCAGACGTCATCACCTCGAGGTACCTTTCTTGTTTCTTTCTTTTCACGTTCGTGAAAAGCAAAATCCTACCTTTTACGAGTTTAATTGCGACACAAGACGAAGATACGAAAGTCCTCGAGTGTTCTTCCGTCCCATTCCCGAAGAACCGAAGACCATTCTATGCCCTTTTCACTCGAAAACGCTTCACAAGATGGAGAGGTTACACGTGAACGAAAGCAAGTAAAAGTATCGAAGCGATCCTTTTTTGGGGTCGAGGAGCAACCGTGTCATGGCCATTCCCGTGAATTCCATTCGTCTCATGGTGCGTTTCAGATCAAACGAACAAATGCTCGTTCGTTCCCCTGCTCTGATGGAACTCGAATTGAAACGGACATTTATCGAACGTCGGCTCGCTTACGCAAATTCATATTTTCGATTTAAAAAAACCTAGGTAAGGAATCGTCATTAATAACTCGTTGACTAAAATTTCACTCATTTATACAAGTAAAAGACTGTTATTTAATCCAACGTCAAATTTGGGAACTAATAACAGCAAATGAATCATTTGGTAACTTTTTTAACGTTACGTCGATGAAATATTTATTATCATCGAGCAAATGCACATTGACAAGATAAGAAGCGTTGAATTGCGTTTTCTGAATTTCAGCTTTTTCTCTCTCTCTCTCTGAAAAACACACTCGTTTCGAATTGCGTCACTGGGTAAATAATACTTTACGCATTTCAGATCCCTCATGAAATAATGTCGAAAACTCCACAGTCTGTTAATAAACCTACTAAAACCATGTATTCAAGCGCCATCAGTAAACATAGATTACGCTAAACGAGCACGGATTTGCTCGAGGCGGTGAACAAACGAGCATTCTTTCCTTTGATTTAAACGCGCCATCAGGCGAGAGCCAACAAATCTCACGTAGAACCCGCCGCTTTTGGGCTCGTTTGACGCGCACGCGTCTAACGAGACGGGAATCCCATAACCAAACGTTTTGCAATATCGTTCGATTCGGCTCGGCTCGAGTAACAAATCGTTGCCGTACGAGGAATAAAAGGCGAGGTGACGGGCAACTTTCATCGTTGACGCTCGTGCACGTGATCGAACGGGGACACCGGCCTCTCGTTCACTTCCATGTCTTTAACCTTCACCGAGGTGAAAGTTCAGAACCTCGTCAAACAGCTTCACACAGGTAATGATACCTACCTTTCGCGTGGATCTCGTTTCCGAGTGAAACGCGCTGCTTCACTTTGCAAGCCGTTCAACGAACGCGATACACACGGTTTTGCATACCTTTGTGACAGTAACATATAGATATAGATATATATATATATATGTATATGCATACATCTAGTCTGTTGTTTCTCGATGAGATATGCTATATCCAATTATACACCTGCATCATAGGGGATGAGTTTTTAGGCGCCTCGGTTTGCTCCAAGCGCGGTAATCGCATTGAAAAATAGAAACACCATTACGACGGTACGCGAGCCCGGAACTTTAGCGAGATCTTGTTAATTGTAGAAGTACGTTCTAGCTTCTAACGCTGGACGCTTTTAAATAGAGGCGCGATCTTTCACCGTTTGGAATTAGCTTGCTATTAAATTTATCCGAGTATATACGTACGTTATGTTATATTTTTCAGAATCAGGGAAGAAGGTGATGATTAAATTGCGGACTTCTAGGCATTTTAAAATTTTTTTATGAACGTGACTGGAAAAATGAGAGTAATAATTTAATACAGTACGATAGTGGCTAATGTAATAATGATTATTCTCTATTTTATATGTTTCGTTATGTGGAAGTTTGCACTTTACAAATTAGTAGTCTACTAATAATATAGAATTCTCGCGAACGAAGAATGTTTTAAAATTTTTTATCATTATTGTTAAAAATGAACGCTTTCTGTTTCAGAGTTTTAAGAACGTAGATTTCGTGTAACCTAATAATGTAGAAAATTTCAAGTGCTTCTTACATATCTGTCAGATTAATGATTAATGATAAATCCGCATTATCATTTTAAAAATCCTTACTAATATATCAATGTTTAAAAATCATTCAAATCTGTCTTTTATACTTTGGAGACTAATGATTCCATTAAAATATTATTCTCAATAGTTCCATTCCGTCACCTCTTTCTCTACAATTATATTTATAACATATATATATTGCTAATGTAAGAAATTTAGAATGTCGTTTTAAGTGGAGGCATTTAGAACCATAAGCACCCAAAGATACACGAGTCATATTCGCGTGACGAAGGCAATAAAACCCAGCCACCCGATACGTTGATAAACAATGTGATCAACACTAACTAAAATGCAACTGGCCAGAGACATACATAGGTAATAAAATGTTAACACGTTCGCGTGTACGGTCATCGACACGTGCTGAAAATCGGCTGCATACCGCGGCGTGTACACGCATTCCGGAGTTAATCTTAAACTTCTTCTACTTTTATTGTTGCTGCCTGGCAAATGGTTATGCATAACTTGGTGTATTGCAGATACGTAAAATAAGTAGAGCGTATAAGCTTAAGAGGGATGCTCATTGTTAAGAAATACGCAGTGACGATGCTGCCAAGCCATAAAACACGTCGACTCCTAACTTCTATCCACCTCGATGTACTTCCTTCCTTCTGTCTCTCTCCTTCCTTTTCTTTTTCATTTCTTCTTTTTCTTTTTTTTTTTCTTTTAATGGATTAATTTATTATTTTATGTACGTAACGTTTCGTGCATGTGGCGTTAACGTTAGATCGACGTTATCACTTCGTTGAACATGGCGCGCGTACGACTGTATTTCTTTTTTTATATGTATACGTACACATGTTTACGAGGTTAAGTATGTAAATATACGATCTATTTGTAAATAGAAGATGCATCTTATTTCTCATTCCGCTCTTTTTTTTTTTTTTTATTCCTATCTCCTGTTAGAAATAAAAAGGTGATCGAATTTTTAAGAGAAGTTGCACTTGAAAGTGATATTGATCAAATTGACTCGTTAAATTCGGCAGGAAAATTTTTGTCCAATCATACTATCACGACGATTTCAAATCAGTTTTTAATTTTTCGGTCTGAATTTTTTTTACCATAGGCCAAGTTTTGTTAAGAGTTTCTGACTCTTGATACTTAAAACGAGAAATCAATTTCAGTTTGAAATAGGAGTACTATATACATTTGAACTTATTTGACGATCTAAACATCACACAACGCTACAATAGCATTGATATTATTATTTCCCAATCAGAATTTTCTTTTTCGTTATAAAAAATTTTACTTAGCTTTTCTTACATTTCGAGGGAACTGAAAATCATATTAACGTTACGATAATATAATGTTTACGATTACTGGCAAGAATCACATGGCGCTCCAATTCAAACATCATAGAATAACTACTGATAACAGAATAAATTATATGCTAGTCAGAATTTGTTTTTCATATGCAGAGTTTTGATTAATTTCTTTATAGCATTTTGAGTAAACTCCATTCGTTTCCTGAAAATCGCACGACATCACTCGCTAACCTTGGGTATCATACTGGGTTAGACTGTGCAGATTCATTTTTCCGCGAATATGACTATAAAAATAAAACCTCGAGAATTACATAGTAAACCGCAGTTAAACATTAGTTTGCTCTGAAAGCCAGTTCACGTGTGTGTGTGTGTGAATACATGATAGAATTTCCAAGCATCTGGCGTTCCGTTTATCTCAATGGTGTTTTCCCTTCACGTTGGCCGTAATCGCAACTTTCAGTGACCGAGATTCACGTTTCGGGATCACGGATTTGTTACCGGGTCATCTTCCATGGTAACAAATTTGAAACACTGCTAAAAAAAAATTTCATGAGTTTCATTAGTTCAGTAAGATTATTTGATGAAATATCTTTGAAGTTAATTTGAAAGTTCTTTATAATTCAAAGTGATCCTAATGACTGAACGGCGAATGTTAAGAAATGAGACTTTGTATCATCAGTTTTGCCTGACAAAATTAAAAATTAAATCTTTTAGAGAATCAGGTTTAGAATAGGAGATATAAAATTGAGAAAATTATTATTTCGCTAATGGAAATTAATTTTCTTTCCAATTTAAATTTTTCTATTATTAAAAAGAAGTAGCTATTTATTGGTTATTCATCTATAATTTAACTTGCTCGTATGTGAGAAAATTCATTTTCCTTTTAAATTAATGATAGGTATGAATTTTGTCAAGTTTAAAATATTAAAAGAAAAATAAGAATATTTTAATTTATTTAATTTATTTAATTCATTTATTTTACTTATTTATTTTAATTTATTTATTAGTTAGTTAA